AAATTGATTCTCGGTTTCAGATCCGAATAGCACATTGTTTGGCATGCAATGTCCTTAATATAACCCACGTTATTGAAAATGTGGAAGATGCCTACTGGAAAAACCACTATTCGGAAAGGAAGCGGATATGTAGCAATCCAGTTACGGACGATGAAAATATCATTCAGGTATGTCTCAGATTCAACATCCACGTACTTCACCTGATGATATTAATGTTCTGATTTGAATGTACTTCGATTAATATGTGATGTTTAGTTGCAGATCCGAAAAGCAGTGTTTGATACTCGCCACTCAATCGGAGAAAACCACCCCGTCAAGACGAACCGAACAGAAGATCCGCAAAGAGACCTGACCACAGTATACTTTACAGAATTCAGATCATTATATTCGTACGGAATGCAATATATTGATATCCTTTCCAGATTCTCAAGAAAACAGATAAGACAGATATTCACCTTTATGTCTCTATGGAAACACGACAGGTACCCTTACGAGGGGAGAGTATCAACTCGGCGTTTATAAACCCTCTCTGCAAAGGAGGTAGGCGCATGGTGGGTTAGGTATATACAGTGTTCTTCATTGCAGAGAAAATTGTTGTTTATCTGCCTGTCTCGTCTTCATTGAGATAGTTGATGAATTGATAAATTACAAAAATATATCGTGTTCCAGTTATGGATGTTGAAAACAATATTCAGACTTTTCATAGATTCATATTCTATGTAGGTTTGACGATTCAAATTTGAAATTGATACTTAGTTTTAGATCTGAGAAGCACATTGTTTGACCTTCGAGGTCCTTAATATAACCCACGTAATTGAACATGTGGAAGATGCCTACTGGAAAAACCACTATACGGAAAGAAAGCGGATATGTAGCAATCTAGTTACGGACGTTGAAAATATTATTCAGGTATGTCTCAGATTCAACATCTATGTATTTCCTCTAATGATATTTTCTGATTCAAATGTACTTCGATTTAAATGTTATGTTTAGTTGCAGATCCAAGAAGCAGTGTTTGATACTTGCCACTCAATCGGAGAAAACCATCCAGTAAATACGGACCGAACAGAAGATCCGCAAAGAGAACTGACCAAAGTATACTTTACAGAATTCAGATCATTATATTCATACGGAATGCGATATATTGATTACCTTTCCAGATTCTCAAGCAGACAGATCGACAGATATTCAGCTTTATGTCTCTATGGAAACACGACAGGTACCCTTACGAGGGGATAGTATCAACTCGGCGTTTTTAAACCCTCTCTGCAAAGGAGGTAGACGCATGGTGGGTTAGGTATATACAGTGTTCTTCATTGCAGAGAAAATTGTTGTTTATCTGCCAGTCTCGTCTTCATTGAGATAGTTGATGAATTGATGAATTACAAAAATATATCGCGTTCCAGTTACGAATGTTGAAAACAATATCCACTATTCTATGTAGGTCTCACGATTCAAATTTGAAATTGATCCTTAGTTTTAGATCCGAGCGCAGCACATCGTTTGGCCGTCACGGTCCTTAATATAACCCACGTAGGTAATTGAAAATGTGGAATATGCCTACTGGAAGAAACACTATTCGGAAAGAAAGCGGATATGTAGCAATCCAGTTACGGACGTTGAATATATTATTCAGGTATGTCTCAGATTCAACATCCATTAATTATTACTCTACTACAAATTGAAAATATGTAGGATGCAACGGAGAAAATAACGTACCCATAAGTTATACTGTATACCTACTTCTTTTTTACTTTCATCAGTAAATTATTTGGAAATGACTTTATATTTAACGGAGACGGAAAAATCACATGTATAACATGGGGGTAAAGTATATTCTATTCTTCATTTCCCTGCAATTTCACGTATTACTTTCTATAAGCCTGCTTCTCGTCCTAGAATTAGTCACTCCATAATTTTTTCTCCGAGTTGGATTTCCGAAAATATCTTTAGCACCATGACATGTGTACAGTAGTTCAGATACCCACATCGAGGTTTTCACCATTTCTCAATGATAAGGCTCAGCTCATTCAGCTCATAGTAACTACTGCTCAGTTTGAAATCAGAATGCATTCAGTCAATTCAGTCAACCCTGGTATACAGTCTAAGAACAGTCTCTTTTGGTGAAATATATTAAGCTTTTAGTACAAATTATATGTTCCCTACCTCGCAAACATTATGCTGGAGTTGTAAACTCTAAAACTAGAGGATTGTTCAACTATATCTTGGTATAGTTGAATCAGGAATTCCATATGTAAATTATGTATGATAAACCTAAAAAACAACCAAATGTCAAAAACCTAGTGTTTATCCCCAGAATTGAATAAAGATGGAACTATATAACTGTTTCACAAACACTTTAGAGTGAGAGGAGACGAGGATCTGTCCGTACCCTGTTAAGATGACTTCAACGTCAATTTCCATCAAGGGACTCTAAGTAATACCATCAACTCTAATTAGACCTAATTTATTTGTGTACCAAAATGTACCGTTTGTCCGTGAAAAGAGTTATAAGTTTACATGAAGAAAACAGGTGCATTTATTTTTGGATTACCGACAATTGGACGTGGTCAATTGGACGCACGAAAATTGGACGCGGATAATTGGACGCGGCGACAATTGGACGCGGCGACAATTGGACGCGGCGACAATTGGACGCGGCGACAATTGGACGCGACGAAAATTGGACGCGGCGACAATTGAGCGAATTCGAAAATAAAAATAATTTTATAATTCCAATGAAATTTATTGCATGGAATATGCAGGGCTCACATCTATAATATAACAAATACCTAACCTAACCTAACTAACCTAAAATATTGTACTATATTCGTATCGTAAATTCATATTACGATATGAGATAGGAAAATAATTGTCAAACGAGGCCATAGGTATTTGTTATAATTATGGATATAAGCCCATCAGTATTTCATATTTTATACAATGAATTTCATTGGAATTATAAAATTATTTTTATTTACGCATGCGTCCAATTGTCGCCGCGTCGAATTGTCGCCGCGTCTAATTGACGCCGCGTCTAATTGTCGCCGCGTCCAATTGTCGCCGCGTCCAATTGTCGCCGCGTCCAATTGTCGCCGCGTTCAATTGACTGCGACCAATAGTCGTGCGTCCAATTTTCCACGTCCAATTGACGCGACACCTTTATTTTTTTACGTCGAATAGACCTTTGTATTGATGTAGGTGGCCGTCATATTTATTATAAAAAACCTTGTGCCATCGTTTCCACTGTCAACAAATATGGGGAGTACAAAGTTTTTACAGGAGTAACAAAATGAAGATAATCAATCTGCCTTTGTTTGATATCAAAAATTATTAAACAGAGATGTGACTCCAAACCATGGTATGATCATAATGTCAGTTATTTAATCAAATTAAGTGACAAATTTCGTTACAAAAGAAAAATTCACCCAAATATAAATTCTTTCAAAGATCAATATGATTTCTATAATAACTTGGTGAAGAAAACAATAAGGGAATCAAAAAAGAAATTTTACAATACCCATTTTTTCAATAGTACTCCGAAATCAGTTTGGAATGGAATCAATTCACTCTTAAACAATAAGTCAAAAAATCAGACTGATAATATCAAATATATCAAATTGAATAACATCAAAATTGAAAGTAGTCATGTGATGAGTGATGAAACCAATAATCACTTCATCAATGTTGGTCCAAATTTATCTTCGAAAATACCTCCAATTTCTGGAACATTGAACGATTGTTCAAGTGTTTTATCTATGTTCCTAACACCAACAAATATTTCAGAAATTGAAGATATAATCGATAACTTGAATGTACGGAAATCTTGTGGATTTGATTTCATAACTGTAAAAACTGTAAAAGTAATCAAATCTGAATTAACTCCCATCTTGTTGAAAAAATCTTTTGAAACTGGTATTATTCCTGACAAAATGAAAATTGCTAAAGTATTGCCAATATACAAAACTGGTAAGAGACGATATGAATAATTACAGGCCAATTTCTGTCCTCCCTATTCTTTCTAAAATTATAGAAAAAATCATGAATAATCGTCTTCTTGACTTGAAAATAACAATCTATTGAACAGTGGTAGGATACACAGATAGCTGTAATGGATGTAATTTCGGATATCCAGTCACGGATTGATGAAAATTATAAATGTGGCTTCTTGTCCTTGGACCAATGCAAGGCATTTTACACTGTAGATTTTTATCCGAAATATTATTCCCATAAAATACTTGAAATGTATTTACTTTTGCCTCATTTATTCAAATTTGCAATATTTAATTTCTATTTGGGAGAGTACAAATATTTCACGTCTGTAACCACTAATGAAATTACAAAACAAATCAATTAAGTGCATTGTGCATCTACATTTTCTAGCACCAACGATAAATTTATACAAACCTAAACATTTTCTGAACCTGATTTCGTTATGTAAACTAAAAATATGTTGCTTTATTCATTTTGCCAGAAATAAATTGAAAATATCAAATTTAGCTTTTAATGAAGTCAATACACCTGGTTGAAAGTAATAATGAGAAATACACTATGAATAAGAAAACAGATATTGATAATCTCAGTCAGATTATATTCTTATTTCTTATCTTTTGTTCATGATGATATTCAAAATGACTCTACCTTATAAGATATTCTACAACAATCTAATTTCATAATTTCATTACTTCCGGTATATAAATTATATGACTTTTGTCACTGTCCTATCAATTTTTATGTCTACATCATTTTTATTTTTTTAAACTCATTATTATTCCAATTTTCACCTTTTAACTCGCATTGCAAGTAAGTTCTTGTTTTTGTTGAATTAACTTGTAACAAAATGTTTCATATACAATATATTGTTTCAGCCTTGAAGAAAATACAAATTTTCGAAAGCTTGGCATGGCATTCACATAGTTTGCCTGTAGCCCGATTGACTGAACTCCCCGATATTTCCTATTATATGAAAAAATCATCGGTTAGTAACCTGGCAAACTCACCCGACGATGGGCCTCTTGAACCCCATCTGCGTCATCGCCTGCCTGATCAAGTCAGCGGTCTTCTCCTGCGGCCTCAGAAGGTACTTGAGGATCTGCCCCACCCACCACACGATGGGGTCGCCGTGGAGTCTGGTCAGCCTGGGGGCGAGATCCTCGGGAATGGCCAGGGGCAGGTAGGGGGGTCGCGGCGACAACGAATCTAACGAGAAATTGAAATAATAATAACATAGGTAGAAGTTTATAGTGCTCAAAATGGAAAGAAATGTTGAACCGAGAATCTCGAGGCTAAGAGAATCTAGGGTAATTTCGTGAATCGACTGTAGGCTGATGCAAAACAGACTATTGGCCTAGATTCTCTAAGTCTCAGGGACGGATTTGCATATGCGACATAGGCTCGCGCCTAGGGGCACGCACCACATAAAAAACAAAATGATATTACTCGTCATGTTTTATTATCGTCGATAGTACGTAACGTAAACTGAAAAGAAATGTACCCTTAGCTCCTCTTGACTGTGTACATGCGAGCTCTGTCTGATACACTCCGGACCCGAAGCTTCATTACCGTCATATATGGACTTGAAGGTTCATTGACAAAGAAGCATAATGAACTTATCGATAACATGTTTGGGCTCCTTAGCAAATTGGACATGCTCTCTGATGATGAGGTATTAGCATTGACTATTGTCATATTTTTACTTTGGCTAATGTCCTTTTTCAATTTGACCATTGTCCTATTTTTACTTTGACGTGTTTCATAATATTGTAATATTTCTGAACTAAATAAATTCAATTCAATTCAAAAAATTAGGTAAAACGTTAGTAGACAGCTACAACGAAGATCTTGACGGAGAATTGGGCAACGAAGTTTTACAATTCAAGAATTTTTTCAACCAGTTTCAAAATGAATATGAGAAGAGTAAAAAGCACATTAATAACGAAAGGTGGATGCATCAACTTATGTTGGAAAAGAAAGTGAAAGATAGCTTTCCTAATGTAGAAGTGGCGTTAAGATTGTACATTTTCTTGATAAAAAGACCATTCTCTAAGATGAAGCTGATCAAGAACAGACTCCGTAACTTTATGTGAGAAGACACGCTTAACTTTTTGACCTTCAAGTCAATCATGAGGATATCATAAACGCCTTCATTATGGAGAATGGAGAAACCAGAGAAACCTAGACGGAAACCAATCAGCAAGAGTGACTGAAGTGAACATTATTAGCAGTACATTTAATATTCAGAAAAATATGTTTTTCTCCGATTGGCAGCAAATATTAATTTTGCTGACACATATCAATCAGCAAAGTATTACTTTTCCTGCCTAGGCAGCAAAGTGGGTACTTTGCTGATTTATATGTATCAGCAAAATTAATAATCCATAAATCGTTTATAATTTCCTTCATATTTCATTCGAGACTTGTCCGGCAACAAATTCAACTCCACCTCCCTTATTTCTGGAGGTGTGAGTACTTCCAGGTCGCTATCACTGTCCATCATACAATAATTTGAATATACCGATATTTTTTCGCAAAACTGTCAGAATTTTCATGAATTGTCAAACTATAATTATCATAGACAACTGCGATTTCTATCAAATTTCATTTTAATTGAACACTACAGGAAAAATAAAGAGATTGTGGGAATTGTAACAATTTGCAATTACAATATCCTCCTATATCATTATGAACAATCGGAGAAAAAATTATATGTTCAACTTGGCAGCAAAGTAGATTGACTTCCTTAGCTGGATTCCTAGCCTCGCTACGCTCGGCTATGAATTCAGCCTCGGCAGTCAATCTACTACTTTGCTGCCTAGTTAAACAAATAACAAATTTGAGATATACTCACGATCTAAAGAAGAGAGAAGAATTTCTCAATATAGATTTTTTCCGGGTCACCAACAATGATTGAAAACCACGTGACAGATTACTATGCAACCAAGAATACATTATTATCTCTTTAACTTGGGTGGAAAAGAGACGCCACATTGTTGAATACCTGGTACATTTCTCGTTGACTTTACAATGCTCATTAAAGTGTTGAAGATATGTTTACATTTGTGACTTATCTTTACCAAAAATAGATAATTAACGATGTTAAAGTTCTCTCAAAAATCACCACTTTGCACCTAATTTTTCAAAATTTTCCGGGCGAGGCCCCCGGCCCCATCCTTTTATTGGGGGTTGTGAAACCCCCAACTTTCTTGGTTCGTTGGCCTACTGTAAGGGGTCTTCACAAAGTAATTTTACGATCCATGGGTTCGTGATTATTGAGGTAGGAGACAGACTGAGATTGGAGACATTGAGACACCATATAGATAGTTACTGAGACATATTTTGCCTAGTTATTTCTTTCGAAATTGCAATTAATCTTCACTGTACTAAGTTCAAAACAATTCAGTAATTCATATGATATTTTTTTCTAGGATACCTGTTCATGACAGGGTTATTCCATACCGTCCGATGCTCCACGACCCCAGGGCCCGCACCAGAGGTGGAGCCTAAGGACCTGTATTTTCTAAATCCGGCCCTGCTTAGTCTTGACAGTGGGATATCAAATCACAAAAGTGTTGCGGTAGTCTGCAGAGTTGTGACATTTTGTCTCTCTGTAGCATAGACATAGGGATCTGTGCCCAACTTATAGTCCAGTATATGGGTATATTGAATAGTGTTGTTTGAATGCAAAAGGTGGGGTAGTAGCGATTTTTTAGTATATTGTTAGGTTTGGGGCCCTAATGATAAATCCAAGTTTTCGACCTCGAGGTGTGTGCGCTCGAACCGCCATTTTGGATTTTATGTACAAGCATTTGTTTTTTTATAACTCAAAATCTGTGACTTTCACGACTAATGATGTTCAACACAAAGTTGAAGTGGACAAAATTTCCTATATTTATATAAAAAATGTGTGTAGGACTCATACAGGGTTTTTCACTTAAAACTCCGCACGCCAATATCTCGAAAAGGAACAGAAATATCCAGTTTCTGTATAAAGTAGTCGATGGATGAGTCAAGTAGATTTTTTCGAACTTTCAAAAATTCAACGCCTACTGAGAGCTGAGCGTCGCGACGCGTCGAATATATAAATCCATTGCATTGACTCTGAAATTGCCCGCACTCAATAGTACATTACTCGAACTTATTTATCTTAGTCATTTCTAAGTTATACCGGTTTAAAATGAACGTTTCGTGATTGAAAAAATTGTAACGAATGATTTTTACAAGAATGTCATGGGTATTAGTAACTCTGCAATCATTGTTATCGCAATTGCTGTACAAGCAAACAACTCTTTTCACTCCCCTACAATTTGTCCTGAATTCTCCAATCAATATTGATAAATTGAACCAATTTCAAATAATTATTGTTAGCTTTGTTCAAACCGAACAAATTTGAATATTTGTTGTTACAAAATATGACTATATCTCTGACAATGTGATGAGAACATCTATCGCTTTTAAAACAATTGCGATAACAATGATTGCCGAAGTTACTAATATTCTTGACATTCTTACAAAAATCATCGAATTTTTTGTCAATCAAGAAACATTTACTTTTGAATCGGTATAACTCAGAATTGATCAAAATTAATAATCGAATAGATAACAAAAAAGTTTATAAATAACATGTACAGTTGAGTGCGCGTAATTTCAAAGTCAATGCAATCGATTTATATTTTCGACGAGTTGCGACGGACAACTCTTAGTAAGCGTTGAATTTTTTGTACTTTGAAGAAATTTACTCGATCCCATCCATTGATTACTTTTTACAGAAATATTTTTTTTTATTCATTGACAAGATATTGGCGTGCGGAGTCTTAGGTGAAAAACCCTGTAAATGTTAGGAGTTGCAGCTCCGTGAACTATTAGAAAAAAAGTATTAAATTTTGTTATTTAGCTGTTAATAACTGAAATAAATAATTCAAACAAATGCAAATCATATTGAGATCTACTAAGCCAGAAACGAAGTTCAACTAGAATACTAGTGGGACTTCTCACAGGGCATTGTAGGCTCAACAAACACATGAGTACGATAGGTCTGACTGAAGAACTGCTGTGCAGGTTCTGTCAGGAAGAGGAGGAAACAGCAGTACACATACTTTGCCACTGTGAGGGCTTGTCAAGACTAAGGTTCCTTACGCTGGGTGAGGAAAAACCAGAAGCCCAGAGATACACAGGGGATCTGAAAGCTAGCCTATGGAGTCTCATAGAGAAGACGGGGCTAGCCGAAGAACTCTAATCGATTTTGAGGGCAGACACAATAGATCTGAAAAGGTCGCGGTGTGGAGGCAGATAGCCCGAAGGCCCCATTCTAAATCTAATCATATTGAGATAATTGTCGAAGAGACTCTACGTTGATTTTATATTAATAGGTTGTCCTAAACCTTAACAAATAAGATAGGCAGCTAGCGATAAAACAGCTGCTGTATAGTAGATATTGATAGGAAGTCATAAATGAATCACTAAGGAGAAGAAAATAATAACCATTTTGGGTGAAACTAAACTAGCATAGCCATTTTGTTCTTTGAAAATGTCCACATGAATCTAGCCAAAGAAGGGCACAATCGTGTTATTTTTTAAAAGAAGGGAATTATATTATATGAAATCTATGTTTGAAATAATTCCGTTTTTCCACTGAATGCACATAACGATCACGCAATGCTCGTTCCAGTCAGATGTTCAGTGTTTCATATTTCATTAGTTGAGGTCTTTTGTTATTGTCACCGAATTCTTTTTGAATCTATTGATTCTCCTTTGTGATTGCCATCAATAAATATGTGAAAAATGAAAATTACATGAAAATAGGTATAGTGGAATGAGGGAATAATTTCAAAATGTTCATCTCTGATATCTCTTAGGCAATAGTGAAATTGAGGAAATCACCTCTCGCCAACTAACTAGCTTTTCCGCTGTGCTGTTGTTACAATGCATAAAAAATGCAGCGAGAGACGAAGGAGTTCGATTTTTCAGGTCGTTACATTGTGATTTAAAAGTATGCTATAATGACTCATATGCAATAGGAGCAAATAAAAATTCTCGTGAAGTCTCTAAAAGAAGGCAAGATGATTGGATTAATGCAATCAAATCAAACGGGAGGACTGGTCTGACATGCTGAAGAAATATGATCGTGTGAATTGTAGATATTATCACTCTATTACCAGTATTAGCTTCCATTGCAGAAGTGGCCAAAGGAATTTTAATGAGAAATGATAAAATTTCATAATGAAACAATGTGATGACATACTTGAATTAATGAATGGCCCCAAAAAACACGATTTGTATGCAAAAATATTGCGAAAAACTATTTCGATCCTTTGATTCCTTTGTATAGAAATGGGAAAAGTGAGGTTGTGTTTCAATGTTTTACAGAAAAGTGAGGTTGTGTTTCAATGTTTCACCTCCAGGGAGTCCAGGGTCGGTTATCGTGCACGCGACCTATATAGGATTTTTGCTGCTGTTTTATAGTGCGAAATAATACGTAGTTCAAGTAGGTCGTCGAAAAATAAATAATCACCTATGATGGGCAGGTTGACCACCTGGGTCTCCTGATTGCCGGGCCAACTGGCAACGCTGTCCCCATTGGGGCTGGTGCAAGAGTTGCTAATGGGCAGGAACACCTCCTCCCAGCCCCGCTTGTGGTACCTCCAGCCCTTCGATTTCAATATGAGCGTTCGCTTTGTACCGTAGGCTACCATGAAACAGTAAACAGCGTGATGTAGCTGGCAGCCATAACCACAACCCTACAAAAACATTACACATTGTGGACTTTTCACCTGCTTCCGAGGGTTGATCATTGACATAACCTATCATCTACATCGATAATGCCATAAAACAAAAAGTCGTCCATTTTTGACATCGGACTGGGTCAGCTGAGGCATGCGCATTTAGGACCTGTCATATATCTTGGTCACTCCTAGAGATGCATTACAGTTCGTAGTTTTTCAAAAAATTGCTGCAATTTGCATTGCGCGCCTACGCACTACATAGTGTCATTTTGGACTTACAAGTTTTTGTTACATTGTAGGGAATGGGACAAATCATATTGCTGGTACAATTCTGGTGATAAAAGAGTGGATTTTCGGTATTTCGTGCATTACTCATCGTTAGATGCAAATTGAATATTACTGTTCTCATGGTTTGTTCGACTCAACTCAAATCTTGATAAGATGCGGAAAGCAGAACACAGATTTTTTGATAATAGTAAATCATTCAACGAGCGCATAGCCCCAAAGATGAAAGTTGCGGTACGAGCCGAAGGCGAGTGCTGTAATCATATGAATGGGTAATAGCCATTATGAGCAAGTAAATTACTATTATGTACAGTCGTCTTCAGAGATCATGTCGCGGTTGGACGGTGTCAGCGCTCTTATTGCAGGAGTTATTAAGAATGCCATCATCGTCCATGTGCGACATGTTTCCTGAAGATAACTGTACATTACCATGGACTTCTTCCAAAGATTAAATTACTATGCTTTATCCACAACTATTCAAATAACAAAGCAACTTTGAGAGTTATAATATATGCCATTTCAGTATGTGAAATTAATCATTTTATATTATTACAGACTATTCATAAGAACATAAGTATCTACGTCGAAATAAATAAATATATACTATGTCGATACTTCAAGACTAATAATTGCAGAATAATGATTGATGGCCGCTACTATCCTATTAACAATGAATTTCTATCGTTCTGATTGGTCTCTACCCATCTATTCGAATCGCCCGCACGTATGTGTGCGCCAAATGAATTCTAACGTTCAGCGATCTGCATCTGTCAAGTGTCAAGTCTCATTTTATGGTTACTTATTCCAATGAACTCAATACAACTGGAAGGGATACGATCGTTCTCTCGAATAGCACAAAGTGTGTCAGGGGCAGCTGCAACAAAGATAGCATGATTTACGGATACCTGTCCTCTTCCAACTCGTGTTGTTTAATGGTGGATTGGTTGGATTGGTGTATAAATTTTCTTTTATCTAATAATTAAAGTAGTAAAGAATTTTTTCTGTCATCTACACAGGCAAGAAAGTGAAGACATAAGTTCATTGTCTTAGTTCATGTGAAATACGAGGTGAAATATCTATTCATTTGGCGTGTTTTGTTGTAACAAAAGGACTGGATTTGTTGTTGTGAACACTGAACTGATTGTTGAGAAGGTTTGTGATTAATTTTGAAATTGATATTGAAATTTCATTTTAAAGTCAATAAAAAAATCAGTAATAATTTTTTAATGATAATTGATTACAACATTATCCTTTTTCCTAACTGAATATTTTTATTCAATCACGTTTACTCTTAAATAGAAGCAAAAAACGAGAAAATATTTCAAATTATGCGAGCGCTTCCCATTAGCCAACACAAGATAGAGATAGGTATCCGTAAACACTGCGGGTTGCCTGAAAAATATTTTTGCCTCACTCGTCGTTTACAGTGGGTCCCTTCCAGTTGTTTACATACAGTTCATTGACTGATTGACCAATATTCACAAACAAAGAAAAAACAAATGTGAACCAATGAATACAAAGTAAACAGGTCGCTGACAGCTTTCAAAAACTAGGTGACGTACGCTTATTTTCTATCGCGAATGGTAGTCACTGTTACGAATGAAGAACAGTGAATTATCATGTTTCCGTGTTTTTGTAGAATGGTGATTAAAACTATGAGAACCATATGAGGTGAGTCTTTTGAATTTGCGTGTATTTCAGAAACATTAGTATTGTGCTGTGCTCCAGTCAAACCAATACCTACCTATTTGAATTTACGTTAAAAGGTAACGCTCGCACAAGTCTCTTGAAGACTTCTTAGGGTTGCTCGTAAGTTTCGCTTCTGAATGATAGACGATATATCAACTTTGCATCAAACATAACAGAATTTTGAAGCGGGGACTATTATTTTCTGTCGATAATTAGTGATTGAAAGTTAGTAGCCACGATAAAGCTACTAGAATGAAGTAGTTTTGTCGGTGTTGATTTTTCTCAAATTAGAGACATTCTGTAGAAATCAAACAAATATAAAAAATCAGAAATTTGTTATAAAAAATTCAAATTCGAAATACATGTATGAAATTGGAATAAAAACAACTTCGTTTCAGTAAACTTTTTTGAAATTCGAACCAGTGACGGCTCGTGCCCTCAGAACCTGGGTCGGCCAGGGGATAGATATTGCTCTAAAATGCGAACGTAACACGTTGGTTCAGCGGCTTGAGTGAAGTTCGATGGCAAATAAGCATGTACAGGGTGATTCACCATAATTTCCTCCCCCCCTCTAGCTCACTTTATTTTTGACCCGATTTAAAAATTTGAAGGATGATCTAAAATGATTTCTCAGAATTTTTTTTCCCGTTTCATCAGGAAATACAGGGTGCTCGGAACAAATGATCTACAAGTACTACTCGATTTTTCCAAATGGAACACCCTGTATTTCATTGTATTTTTAGATTCTTCCTGAAGAGCTGATTTCATCAATGCATCACACTTGGGGTCTAGCGGGAATGATAACAGAGATATAGGGTGTTCAAAATCGAGATTTTTTCAAGTTTAGGATTTTTTTGTCTCGAAACTATTCATTATTGGTCGAAACGGCTCCTATGTTTCCATCTTAATTTTTGGTTAACTGTCTATTGAGATTTGATTGGAACATTTACAGGGTGGTTCAAGATTCAGAATTCTGATCACCCTGTATCTGTTCCAATTATTTAATGTCAGTAGATAGTAAATCAAAAGTTGAGATATGGACATGAAAGCCGTTTTGACCGATGATGAATAGTTTCGTCTCAAAAAAATCCTAAAGTTGAAAAATCTCGAATTTGAACACCCTTTATCTCTGTAATCATTCCCGATAGACCCCAAGTGTGATACATTGAGCAAATCAGCTTTTCAGGGAGAATCTAAAAATACAATGAAAAATTGGGTGTTCCATATAAAAAAATCAAATGGTACCCTGTAGATCGTTTGTTCTGAGCACCCTGTATTTTCTGATGTAGCGGAAAAAAACTCAATCAAAAATCATTCAAGATGATATTTCAAATTTTGAAATCGGTTTAAAAATAACTGAGCTAGAGGGGGGGACATTTATGGTGAATCACCCTGTACACATAACCAAAAAATTAAATTGTCCAGCAAGAACCACGAGGTTAGAGCATTCTCGCCAGGGGAAATGGGGAAAGAAAAAGGAGGTGGATATAAGGGTTAGTTGGTATGAAAAAATAATAACAAGAAAGTCGAAAAAATAAAATGAAAGAAAATAAAAATAAAATAACTCGTGAACAAAAAATATTTATATTCTGTTGAAAACGTAACGTAAACTCAAAAAAATCAACATAAGCGACAACCGACAACCACTCAACTAACGCGAGAAGCATAACAATGACTAAAATCGGTCTACGCTCTAGTGGCTACGCCGTTCCTGTAACAAGCCACCCCACTCCTTCGTAGTCGGCTGGCCGAGCCCGCCGTGCAGCCGTAGGTATAATCAGGAGTGTATAATCTCTGGTATAATGTTTCCCGCGATGGATGCATAAATATTATTTATAACCGCTACATGCGTCTTTGAAAATAAATGATATTCTGGAAGTTATACATTTATTACATTTTCGTCACCAGAGTTTTTTTACGATGTTTCAATACCTACTCGGCTCTTGGAATGCTGACATTTTTCTTGCCATATTACCTACATGACATAGGCAGAGGCACAGTATATTTAATTATAACTTATTGACGCTCAGAGGCACTGAAGGAAAATTCTGATACCAATATATTAGATGGATATGTTGAATTATGAATCACTGAAAAATTGCAAATTCAAAAATCACCAGTCATTTTTACTGCAACTACTGCAAGCGTGAACAAAAACATCGAATTTTTTTTTTTTTTTTTTTCAGTTTGTACATTTCAAATTTCAACATCAACTTACAAATAAGTATAGGAATAAAAATTATAAATACCTACAATGTAAAATGAAAATAGAATGTCAATCATGCCAATCCGTATATTAAAAATTAGGTCGGAATGGTCGGATACGGTGCACAGCTAGCGCACTGCAAACTACTGATTACGTACGTACGGACGGCCAGCAGAGCTTGGCCGCACCCAAGGTATGACGCGTATCGTTCGCATATACGCGAGAATTCAAACTTGAAGCGGGGAATCTGTAGGCGATGCGTCGAGACAAGAAACCACCGATCGGCCGGCCGTCTGCATCAGTGTAATGAGCTACGCGAGCGTTTCAACTTAAAGCGGCGTTTTGACGATGGGATTACCAGATGTCGTAGGTCCTGAATTAGTTCGTGATTTTCGGAGTATATGCGGATGGCATACTCAAAGGTTCCAGTGAATGAAATTGAAATAATAGTGGCATAACAGTAGGAATAGTAGGATAATGAACGATGAATTATGAAAACAGTTTCGGAAAATAATTGTATTCATCAAATAGTTCAGTAATTTTCCCCAAATTATTTGGTACGGCCCGGCCGACCCTGCCGTCCCTGACGAGCCGTCACTGATTCGAACAAATAAACATATTTTCAGTGATTAATTTGAAAAAAATGTAACTTTTGACGTAGCTAAAGTCACGTGACCTCGACCGAGTACTCCATTTTTCAAATTTTTGAAAACTAAAACTCAATGCAAAAGTCGAATTTCGAAATAAATAATTATTAAGTTGAGTTATTATAAGTTTTTCCCATATGATGCCGACTACATGAATGACCCTGTTAGATGGTGGTAGATTAGTTCTGAGTGTGATGAATAATGATCTTCATTTCAAATTCTGATGAAATTAAATCAAGAACATGTCAAAAACAGTTAATTATCATTGATCTCACCTTATTCAAACTGCAGACTAATTTTCTTGCTGTATTGCAATTTTCTGGATTCTGTAAAAATTTTAATCTATCTTGAACAAGATTACTCAAGTCATTAGACTCTTTCTCTCTCCAAGTGGCATAACCATCTACTTCTGCTAATTGTTCTATGTCAGAAATTAAGGATCTAAAATCAAAATAATGAACATTGTAATGATGTACCAGGTGTACCACTGAAAAAGGACGGCGGCTGTATATCGGAAACTATTTGCCACACATAAATTTTTCTCACGCTAATATGAAAGTAGGGCAAACGTGAAGAAACATGGTGAAAACCACAAGTTGATACCACTTGAGAAACCGGAGAAAAAAAAATGAACCAAACTAAGAAAAAAATTAAATATAACAAGAGGCTGGTCGGTGCTATTTGGATAACCAAAAAGCACTTTCATTATTATTAAAAAAAAAAACTGAAGAATATGATTACTAAATGCTATAGATTTGTAAGTTTCCTACCTCAAATATACTTATCAGTAACTATGATTGAAAACTATAGTAAGCACAGGGATATTAAAAGTTGAAATCAAATTAAACACTGGAAACAATGAACCAGAAAGAAACCCAGGCAATATGAATGACATCTTTAGAGGCTGTAGCTTCCTTTCAGTCATTTTCCAGCTCTATTTGCACATATATTCCGGCAGATCCTCTATAGTACCAACCTTTTATGTTCCAACCCTAAACTCAACAAGCCATTCACTGTATCCACAATTTCTGGCGCCACTTCATTGGCCTTCTTTTGGACGTCCAAAAGTCCCGAATGGATAAAATACCACATCTCCTTCGTGTTAGACAGTATCCTTCTCCTGAGCATTTCATATTGACTATTTGGTTCCTCCTTCGGACTGATATAACCCAAATTATTGTGCTTGTCATATGAGTGCTCGGCCTTCGTCAATCGTGATTGGAAGTTTTCTATTGCTTCTTTTTGTTCTTCATTCAAATTACTGTGGAAGAAATAATTGGATTGTTGTCGGCCATATCTCAGCAACGAATAATGATACAAGTTTGAGATAGAATAAATCTAATGGTATGCATATCGTTGCACGATGTAATAGAGAAACAAAATCTCAACAGACCAACGAAAACCACAACATGATAGCTTTTCGCCAACGGATGATATTAACTATCAAAGTTGGAAAATGATAGATATGACAGCCGTTCTTAGTTGTTCACCCGATACACATAAACAAATACTAGCCAGTATATTTTGTTTGGATATTTTTCCCCTCTATCTTTAATTAATTTTTGGTAATCAGGTAGATAGCGAGAAAACGAGAGCTTACGGTGATGTTGAAGCGAGGTAGTCGACGTCGGCTGTCGGCTTTCGAAAAAGAGAAAAATTGCGAACACAATGTTTCATTTTGATAATAGACAAATAAAAATCGGAAATTATGCGTCGATCTTCTAAGTAAGTAAGTAAGGTACGCACTGATGATGACTTAACAGTCGAAAGCGCTCTGCAACGAATATTTTGAATAAATTATCTTGCACGAAATACAAATCTTCCCTTCTTTGGTATATATTCACGTGCACACTGCCCAGCAACCCTCACTCAGTTATTTATTATACAAGGGAAAAAAGAAGTAGATTTCAGCTCGCGGTTGAGCTGAAATCTAATATTTTTCCCGTGTATAATGCACTATTTATTTCTGTGGCAGGGAAAAGGACGAATCAATAAAGAGAAGAATTTCACCTGCGCTGCAGGTATCTTCATCATTGTTTCGAATTAATCAAATAATTGTCAAAGAGTCTGTTAGTCTAATTCTGTAATATGATTTTGAAAAATTGCTTACTTAGTGGTTGTTTATAGTAATTTACGGAACCGGGAAGCGGAATGGAAGATAAAAGGACGTGCAGTTCTTTCTCGGAGACGGTGTTATTGGCTTATTTTTCGGAACTAGCACAAAAGCCATCATATACAGAAAGAAGTACTCACTTGTTTTCCGTGGGAAAAAAGTAATTTATGAAAATTGACATTTTATGCACTGTCAACAGAGATGATATGCCAAACTTTTTCCCCGTCACAGAAAAATAGAATATGAGGACAATGTAGGCACAATTTTGACCGTCTCATTATTTTGACGTCTAAGGATCAGCTCCAAGGTTGAGAGTTGAGGCGCCCTAAGCCGTCATCAAGCTGGACGAATAAAGAAATATGAGGACAATGTAGACAATTTTTTCACTCTAAACCTTGGTGCTGGTCCTTGAAGGCCAATGTATTGATTCGAAAGAAATTGTCTACATTCCCCTTATACAGGATGTAATTTAATTGATGGCTGAAAATAAAGGATATAGTTCCTTAGCTCAATTTAAGAAGAAAAGTTAATATGAACATTTTCCCTAAACCTCTTAACTTTCGAAATATAGGGTGTTATCATTTTATTTTCTCTTCATTGATTAAATAAACTTTCACAATGTAAAAAATTGTCACGTTTATGAATACTTGTCGAAATAAGACCGCAACGCAATCGATCAAATGTCATTATTTCAAATACAAAATAAGGCATCAGCCTACTAGTTCAAAATAATTTCGTTATGCCACAAATGCATGAAAATGGTTTCCATTGTTTTACGCAAAAACGGTTCGTCGGACAGAAAAAAATCAGGTCAAATTGTTGCAAAAAAATTAGGATTTCGAAAATGATTTTTACTCTCGGAAAAATCAAGTGCGTACAATATTTTTTTCCAAAAGCTCTCAAGGATACATCCCCTACGTACGCCACTGGTAGAGACATTAAAAAATCTTCTGCATCGAAAAATGCCTATTGGTACTTAGTAGGTGCATGTCAAATTTCATAGGTAGAAAGCTAAGTAGGGCATATAAGTTCACATGAATTTTTCTTCTCAAAATGATCTAAGGAACCATAATTATCTTTCATTTTCAGCCATCGATTAAATTACACCCTTGTTGAGCTGTATATAAGTGATGAAGCCAAAAAGATTGGATCGGAAAATATATTCTGTATTTTGTCCTCATATTGTTCCATTCGTTTTGTCCATCAGTGACGGCCATTATTTTTTGAAAAATATTTAATCTCGTCGAGTTGTATTATAAAATACCAGTTAACAGTTTCAGCCTTGGAGATGGCCCTTGAAGGTCATAATATCGAGTCAGAAATAATTGTCTGCATTCTTCTCATATTTCTTCGTCCGTCCAACTTGATGCCGGACCTGACTTTATAAGTATGAAGAAGTACATAAAGAAATATTGAAGCCTTCGAGAAGAAAATAATCTGTTGTCCTTATATATTCTCTTATTCATACTGCTTCATCACAAATGGCCTTGGCCGCCCATATTTAATTGCGAAAAATGAAAATTTTTTCGTGCGGTTTGAAAATGATAGTGACCGCCCACTTTTTTCTAGAGAGAAAAATCGTATCTCGAGTGAAATGAGATGACAAGAATGATCAGTTCTATCAACAATTATATTTTAATCAATCAATCGATCAAAAATAGAGGAAAATAATGAGAAACAGAGCCAGTACTAGAAATCAAAAAACTCTCCCACTGTGTAGTAACACTTTTTAAGTAGGTATTGTCTAAGAGATTTCCTGAATTTAAAGTATAACCCTTGTTCTTTGATGATATTTGAAAGCTTATTTTATATTCTGATACGACTAGTTCATCACTGCTATGTTCAAATAGTTTTGAGGTGTATATAAGTGGTGACTATGTTTAGTTGAATAACTGTGAATATTGTCATGAATATTATGAATCAAAAAGGATATTTCCAAAATATAGAGGCAACAGAGAGGAAGTATATTCAATTGTTTGAACAATTGTTTGCATGAATCTCTGAGTCTCTTGTCCGTAAGTGTTCTAAGACATTTCTTCTGAATAATGAATAACTTCCGTGCTACAGGAGACATTCCCCAATAGCAGTATCCCATATGTCAGCCTGCTTTGTATTTCAGCAAAATACTAGTTTTTCAGAACCTTGATATTAAATATTTCGTGACGAAACCTGAGTTGATATATTTTACTGTTCAATTTTTTGATAACTTCGCTTATCTGAATATTTTCAAATTTAATTGATTGATGGACTGGAATCACTCAGAAATATCAATATTCCTGTGAAAGATGAATCATAAAGTTATCAAACATCTGAAAGGAAAACTATAAACGTGTGGATCGATTTTTGTGGGATCCATTGACCATGATAGCTGGCTGGTTGTGAGCTAACATGACCGAGGTAAAATACTAAAATAGTATACTTTTTTTTGCCTACCATATAATATGATAATGAATTATATCAAACCTAAAAATATGACCAAAAGTAATGTATATGGTTCCTTGGGCTTCCGAACTCATAACACAATTTTGTAGTTTTTGACTATCTTGACACCTTTGATTGTCACTTGTATTTTGACGTTTCACATTAATTTTTCATTAAACGTCAGTGTGAATGGAAGTTCTGAATAAAGAGAACAATTATGTTTCTGGTAGGCGAAAAACAGCTGTGTCACACATACAAAAAATGCTTTAGCAGCCTTTAGCTACCTGCTGCACTTTCTTTGCTAGTTCAGCTAATAGCCATGGGCTGCTTAAGCTCCTTTTCTGCCCTTGTGATACTATATACGATATAAACATACTTCCCAACAGTTTCAAAAGGTAATGAAAACTATATCTATTTAATAACATCATGGTAGTTGCAGTTTGCAATGACATACAATTATTTTGACAGTGTCTCAGAGAGTATTTAATACTTTGGTGACACCATGGATGAGTTTGGTATTGATGAGTATGCATATGAATGGATATCTGATAATGAAATGATATACAGCGTGGAGACTGAAATGGAATAACTTCGTTAGCAGGGAGGTGAATATTTTTTCTGGAAATTCCCGACATACATCAACGATTTGATGTATTTACCTACTTTTTGCAAGCAATATCGAAAATATATCCCTCCAGGGGTGGCTCAAACCACCCTCAACATGATTTTTCAAATGTGATACAATGGCGTGTGACCCTTTATTAGAAAGCTGGTGGAAAGAGGAATTCAGCATACTAGTCACATTTTACTTTTTAATGCGTTTAAAGGTTCCATAAAATTGAAATGCAATTTTAAAATTAATTTTTTTAATGTATAAATCGCTCAAAATGTGTGTTGAACAATTGATGGCATTTTTTTGCTATCTGCTATTGTATTCCAGTGTTTTTATAGAGCCGCAAAAATAAATTTAGTTTTTTTGCTGTATTCACAGTTTGAAACGAAGTGTTATTGCATACTGGTGGAAATGCTAGGACTAAAAGTCGAAATTTTGATGAAAATAGTTGAAAATAGATTAAACTTCAAAATTATATTTTGATTTTATGAGACCTCCGAAAGCACTGCAAACTGAAATATGATCAGTATGCTGGATTCCTGTTTCAACCAGCTTTCCAATGAGGGGTTGCAAGCCATAGGGTTGCATTTAAAAAAAAAACATCTTGGTGTAGATTCCTGCTACCCCTGAAGGGTTATATCCTTCATATTTCTCGGCAAATGTAGGTAAATACATCTGAACTTTGACGTGTTTCGCGAATTTTCAGAAAATTCAGCCACTCTCCCAGTAACGAATTTATTCCAGTTTAAGTATCCACCCTGTATGTCCCAAGGTCATGTGATAACAAGTTGAAACAAAGCGCAAATGCGAGGGAAAAATGACCCATTTGCGAATATCCAAACGTGCCGCATTTAAACTGAGCTAAGTGAATGGCAGAGCATCATTATTTCCTAGAATATTTCGCCCCTCTCGAAAGATAATATCCGATGGACCAGTGTGAAACTCAATATGTTGTTTTGAATGCTTGTAGTGCGAGCACCACATGGGTTTCAGATTGGTCCATCGGATATTATCTCTCGACAGAGACGAAATATTATCGGAAATACTGACGCTCTGCCACTAACTTAGCTCAGTTTGAATCGCGGCACGTTTGCATATTCGCAATGGGACATTTTCCCATTCAACTTGTTATCACATGACGAAAGTATGCCCGGAATAACGGCAGCAAATACATCGCTGTGCTGTGGATTTTGCTCAGATTCCGATTCAATTGTTCTCATCTCAATATCAAATGGCGAAAAGAAGGTGCAAATCACCGCACAGGAAAGTGCCAGTTTTTATTTTGCTCAGGATAGGATAAATACAATGTGCTCTCCTACTAATAGACTTGCAGAAACTGACAATGTCAATAACTCCATAATGAATGTGATAGACATTTTTTTACATGAAGTACTAACATTATTTTGGCTCACTCTATCAGCCGGTATAAACCAACTGAAAATAGTCTCACAAGTTATCAACATATGAAAAATGTCAGTATTTATTCAATCCAAGATAGGCAGAACCTTGAAATTTGAATCTGATAAAAATGTTTGTAAACACTGGTATACCTACTAACATAATATATGTATCATATAACACATTTTGAATATCAATAAGTAATACAAATTAGTTTTTATCATGTTTTTAGATAATATTTTGTTGTAGACACTGTTAAAATATTTTGTACTTGGAATTTACTCCACAGAATTATTCACTGGGCAATTTATTGAACAAAAAGGAAGACAAAAATTCACAAAAATATTCTTAGGAAAAACTATGTCCTCTGCTATTTGTGTGTGTATATTTACTTTAAATACCTATATATAAAAGTTAACAATTTTGCCATCAAAATCCAAATCAACAAGTTTTGTGTATACTTTTCATGGATAGATAATTCAGGTAGATGTTGAATGAAATTTGACAGAAATGAAACTGAATAGGTAATCAATGGATAATGATTTGGGATAAGATGTAGGGTGGGAAGCAGGCAATTTATCAATCATAAGAGAAGAAAGATCATGCTCACTTTATACTTATATCCTTGAATATCTCATGCAGCTCTTCATTCTGCCTTCTGAGAGCTTCTAAGTCAGCAAGAGCTCTAGTCAATCTCTCAGCTACCCTTGTATCTGAAGAGCTCACACTTGTACTCAACATTGGAAAGGCTGACATCACCAAAATGATGAGCCATAATGCTAAAAACAATATTAATATCCTGTAACATCCAATATAGTTGACATGTTTGAGTACGTCGATCATTTTCGTTCTTTTTCAAGTTCACATTCATATCATTATCATTCTCCTAGTTCTTATTGATCAAATCTGTCTTGGTGTTATAGTTCTCCATACAAAATCATTATTCAATTAGGTTCATGCCATAGAGATAACAATACCAGCTTCCTGAATGTAGTAATGAGTCTCTTTTATATAACGACTATTATCTGCCCATAAAATTATTAAATATTTCAATAAACAACTCGGAATCTAAAATTCAACATTCTTATTACTATTCACACTCTCTAGAATCACTATTTCAGTACTTTCACTTTTTTAACGAACGTCAATGAGTGTTGTTGTTTTTGTTGTTGACTGTCACGATTGGACGATTGACGATTGTTAGTGTCACTTTGCTGTCACTGTCATTAGTTCCATGGAAATCAAAAATAAATCCACCTCGTTAAGCAGGGTTCACAACCAAACTTATTACGTTTCGTATTCTGATTGGTGAAGCGGAATCTGAAATTTAACGTGAATTAAACTGGAGCAAATGTCATTCTCGACCAAAAAACGTCAACGTGAGTTTTTGCAGCTTTTCTCAGTTTCCTCGGCTCTGTCACTTGTGCTTCATCCTGAAATGAAGGGAAATAGTCACAACAATAATATTAAGTGATAAAATAACGGATAATATTCATGAGAACTGGCGGGGGCGTAAATTGCTCCTTAAAGAGAAAAATCAATCCTAAAAAGGCAAATATTGGGTAACACTATCATTGACGTGTGGTGTGAGAATAGGTTAAGTATTTGGTATTTGTCTATTTTTACCATTTTCCTACATCGTGCAATTTTCACGCATAGTGGCATCTTGCAACGCAAAAAGCTGAGAATATTCAGCTTTTTGCGTCACGTCAATTCCAGATTCTGCTTCACCAATCAGAATTCAAAACGTTAAAAGCGAAACGTAAAAATTTTGTTGTGAACGTCGCTTTAGTGTTGAGCATATATCTACTACTCTATATGTGGCGCATCGCCTATATGATATCTCAACAAAAATGGGACCAAAATGATAAGTACTTTTTGAGTCAATAAGGACGGAAAGTGAAAGATGGAAACTGTTGACGTGAGGATCAGATTTCAAGTTAGGTTAGATTCGTGCAATAGGTCGCGTGCAAGAACTGTCAGATGACAGATGACTGACCCTGGAGGCAAAACATATTTGTTTACAAGTGATCGAAATAGATTTCCACAATTATTTTGGCATATGAATCGTATTTTTCTGCTATTCATCAATTCGCTAATGCCATCACATTGTGCTGTTGTAAAATGCACAAAAACTGCAGCGGAAGATGAAGAAATCTGGATGGTACATTATGATTCAAAAGTAAGTACCTACTATAGTCACTCACATAGTTTTCATTTTCGAAATTTGGTTATTTCTCTGATTTCTCATCGGAATTCCTTCTGCAATAGGATCAGCTAATAGAAATATACCTGAAATTTCTAGAATAATGCAAGAAGATTGGATTCATGCAATCAATCGGTAGGACTGGTCTGACATGCTGACGATCGTGTGTGTTGTAGACATTTTCAATCTATTAGCAGCATTTGCTTGTATTGCAGAAGTGGCAGAAGGCAGAAGGAATTTTAATAAGGAATGACAACATTTCATAATGCTAACTATGTGAGATTACTATTTACCTGAAAAATCATATTCCCTAGTCTCTTGCTGCATTTTTTGTGCATTGTACAACAGCACAATGCGAAGGCATGCTTGAATTAATGAATAACGCATGAAACACGATTCGTATGCCAAAATATTGTGAAAAACTATTTCAACCTTTTGATTCCTCTGTAACCAAATAAAAAAGTGAGGTTGTGTTTCAATAATTCACAGAAGAATGAGGTTGTGTTTCAATATTTTGCCTCCAGGGTCGGTCTTCGTGCACGCGACCTATAGGATGCGTGCAAGAACTGTCAGATGACCGACACTGGAGGCAAAACATTGAAACACAATAATGTCACTTTTCTTATTTGTTTACAAGTGATCAAGTTTTTCACGATTATTTTGGCATACGAATCGTATTTTTCCGCTATTCATCAATTCGCTCATTCCATCACATTGTGCTGTTGTAAAATGCACAAAAACTGCAGCGGAAGATGAAGGAATCCGGATGGTACATTATGATTTAAAAGTAAGTACCTACTATATAGTCACTCACCTATAGTTTTCATTTTTGAAATTTGGTAATTTCTCTGATTTCTCATCGGAATTCCTCCTGCGATAGGAGCTAATAGAAATACACCTGAAATTTCTAAAATAATGCAAGAAGATTGGATTCATGCCTGTGGAAGTGTTCCCAACAACATATAATCTCCAAAAGTTCAAAAAAAATTCCAATACCTACCTCCTGTCCCTATCCTCTCTAGGAACGCACGATGTTCTTTGAACATTATAGGGATTCCCTCTCGTGCGCTCCAAGCGATTAAAAAAAATCGGGAGGACTGGTCTGACATGCTGACGATCGTGTGTGTTGTAGACATTTTCAATTTATTAGCAGTATTAGCTTTTGTATTGCAGGAGTGGCAGAAGGCAGAAGGAATTTTAATAAGGAATGACAACATTTCATAATGATAACTATGTGAGATTACTATTTACCTGAAAAATCATATTCCTTAGTCTCTTATTGCTGCATTTTTTGTGCATTGTACAACAGCACAATCAATGCGAAGGCATGCTTGAATTAATGAATAGCGCAAAAAAAACGATTCGTATGCCAAAATATTAAGTGAAAAACTATTTCAATCCATTTTGATTCCTCTGTAACCAAATAAAAAAGTGAGGTGTGGTGAGGTTGTGTTTCAATAATTTACAGAAGAATGAGGTTGTGTTTCAATATTTTGCCTCCAGGGTCGGTCATCGTGCACGCGACCTATGTTGATTATATTGGATTATATCACAGTATAATACCAAAGAATATAGGTTTTTGATAATACCGCCTATTTCGATTTATTTCGTATAAAGTGCTGACTACATATAATGAGATTAGGGGAATAAGTTCCTTCGTTCAGGGTTCTTTGGGAGTCTAAAATATAATGTCAATAAGTGTGTACCTTTGTGCAGGTCAAAAGCATGTTCATCAGATATAATTCAATGTTCGACGTGGCAAAAATAGCCAGGAAAGTAGTTGTTTTCTCAATTTCAGAAGATTTTATATTTTAATTCCAAACTCTCATCGTGTGTGTTCAATAGATGTAATTCAATGTTCGTCGTGGC